GGGGGGGGGGGGGGGTGCGCACCCCCTGCACCCTTCCCCTAGATCCGCCCTTGCATCATAAAGTAACAATTGCTAATCTTTGTAAGGAAAGTAGTTTACATTAACCTTCAGAAGCTGCTACAGCATTTGTTTTTCTTAATAGTAAACAGGGGAGCTGAGTATTTTTTAAAAGCCTCTTGTCCTCATAGATCTGATTCTTAGACATTATTATTTATCACTATGAGCATTTTCGCCTTTGCAACAGACATTTCTTGTAAGTAGGACAAAATTTAGTTAGGTAGTAGTTTAAGCAGACTATTATTTCCAGTGCAACTTGAATTAGCACGATTGCACTGCAGCCACCAAAGGCTTGCCATTCTCTGTGTTTTGGATTTCACCTTAAATTAATAACATTATTTAGAATAACTGTGAAACTCACAAAACCGTGAACACCAGAAATATTTATGTAATGTTATTGTGTTGCAAGTAATAAGCCAATAAGGTGCAAGATAACTAAACTGCAAACAGCAACGGTAATTAGTTTGTGGTTTTGAGGTTTGCTTGTGTATCCTGAACTTTATTGTGATTGGCCAGTACACAATCAACATTCCTGAAATTTTTCAGGTTTCCATGGTTTTCTGAGTTTGACAGTAGTTATTTAGGGCTCTCATAGTTACAGTGTATGGATAGACAAAAAAAATCAATAAAAAATTTAAAAGCTCTCAAAAACAAACAAAAAACGGAAGTGATGTATCGTGCATTATTTTGTTTTATGGTTAAAGCCACAATCAAATTTGTTTGAGTACAGTACTTTAGGTACAGTACCAGTTAGCTACAGTTTAGGTACACAGTTAGCTACAGTGAGCTGCAGTGTCACAACAGATGGTTCCAAAAGTATGAGGGTTTTATGGAAAAGCAACTTCGAATTCCTTTTGTATTAATAATAGTACATTTTACTCAAAATATGCATAGCTTTGAAACAAGTATAGTTTTTGTGGGCACTTCAATCTACAAATTTGTTGGTACCTATAGGCTTCTTCTTGTTACTTTTGACATTTTGTTACATTTTAAGAGAGTTAGTTAAAAATTCTTGCAGATCAGGAAAGATCAGGACAGAGCCATAACCGAGGATGGGTCACTGGTTAAGGTTCCAGCATGGATAAGATAATTCATTGATACATGTAGATATCACAAACAAAACTGGGAAGTTCAAAGGAAAAGTTGATGTAGTAATTGACCACTCCAGAAAATACCATAACATACCATAATGCTCTTTGTTTGTCACCCCAAAATTTTGCATATTTAAGCATTGTTTTCAGTTTCTCTTGGGGCCATTTTAACTCCCAAGAGAAACTGAAGACAATGCTTATGCAAAATTTTGGGGTGAAAAACAAAGAGCATTATGATATGTTATGGTATTTCTGGAGTGGTCAATTTTGAAACTGCAAGTCAAGGTTTAGGGTTAAGATTCAGTGAGAATAGGGATGTGTTCCAAATCAAGAAGTTTAACATGTATGCAGCAATAGCTTTGAGGTTGTTATCAAAAGATATTAAATATAGTGAACAAAAGGCTAGTGCAAATCCAGAGGCAAATATTATGTGGAACTTTTCTGAAAGCTGAGACTGACATAATAGTCACACTTCTGAAAGCTGTTGTTTATTAAGAACTAAAAGAAATTTTATGAAATTGTTTTCATTAAATTGTCCAACCACATGACTTTAAAGTGTAATATATGTATATACAGTAGTTTAAAACATGTTTACATCCCATTTATAAAACTATTATTTTCTTTTTGCTTTCAAGTAGAAACTGCTGCAGTGGCATTACTTCTGGAAGGAGTGGATACTGTAAAGCACAGCAAAATGGTAGTGNCTGGAGTGGTCAATTTTGAAACTGCAAGTCAAGGTTTAGGGTTAAGATTCAGTGAGAATAGGGATGTGTTCCAAATCAAGAAGTTTAACATGTATGCAGCAATAGCTTTGAGGTTGTTATCAAAAGATATTAAATATAGTGAACAAAAGGCTAGTGCAAATCCAGAGGCAAATATTATGTGGAACTTTTCTGAAAGCTGAGACTGACATAATAGTCACACTTCTGAAAGCTGTTGTTTATTAAGAACTAAAAGAAATTTTATGAAATTGTTTTCATTAAATTGTCCAACCACATGACTTTAAAGTGTAATATATGTATATACAGTAGTTTAAAACATGTTTACATCCCATTTATAAAACTATTATTTTCTTTTTGCTTTCAAGTAGAAACTGCTGCAGTGGCATTACTTCTGGAAGGAGTGGATACTGTAAAGCACAGCAAAATGGTAGTGGCTGTGATAGTAATATTACAATACAATAATATTACAGTTTTTAATCTTTAAAAATAACAAACTCAAAAATAAAATAAAAGGGAAATGATACATCAAATACCAATCCAGTAATACGCTCCTCATTTTAATAAATTATATTAAGCCCCCCAAATTTGAAATGCAAATAAGTGAACACCCTCAGGACCTGAAAAAAGGGTCTATAAAATGGAGTTGGCTGCTTATGGAAATGTAAAAATATATAGTTTCTTAGGGAGTATAGAGAAAAGAGGTTTTGTAAAGGTAATCAGTTGTAAGTAGAGTTGTCCTCTTACGAGGGTGTCCATTAGGAGAGCTTCCACTGTACTTGGAAATTGCTCTGTGGAGTGCAAGGTTATTGCCAACAACACTTTTTCAAACTCAACTCTACTGTAGTCTAGAAACTCAGTCAACAACACTCTTCCTTTGCTCTCTCAATTCCAGGTGGGGGGAGTACTCCCTTATATGGCCTATATGGAGATGTGCCACTGGACAGTGTATGGTTTTCGACCTCTCTGTCCTAAACAGGGTTTATAATTTCATGTGAGTCTGTTAAAAGGATATATCCTGCACAATTGATTTGATTTCCTGGATGAATTTTGCTTACAACAGCAATGAATATAATGTGAATTTGCTCTGTTACAATTGCCAATATATGGCTTTAAAACAAGATGGCATGTATTTTGTCCTCTGTCCTAAAAAGGGTAATAAAATTGAGGGTGGTGTCCTAAGCAGGGTATGTATTTTAGGATATTTTTGACCTAGACAGGGTCAGGGTTTCAAATCCTTAGCGGCTCACCTATACCCAAATATTGGTCGAGTACCCACCCCGCCTCTTGGGCTCTCAATTCAGAATGTTCGGGATGAAGTCATGTAGACTGGTGTACTGCACTACAGAAAGTTCTCATTGTATACAATACTAGAACTGTATATTGAGACAAGCCCAGGTACAAGGTTGTTATGCATCAGATTTATAGAACCACACCCTGTACATTGTATAGAATGTTTTGTCAACTTGTTCTAATCCAGAACAAAGAACAATATCACTTCATTCCACTCATGCTTACTTAACAAATTATTAAAAGATTTATAAAACCTCTTTTCTGCAGTTTGTGTCGTAAAAAACTAAAATGAAAATTTAATATTAAATATTTGCGAGTGATAAAAAATTTACACCATTAGCACATATTACTGTCGTCAAGACGCAGTTGTAACATCTTCAGTCTTCTCATCAGGGATATCACAGTTAGCTTGATCATCATCAACAGCTCCATCAGGTTGGAGTGAAGAGAGTTTCTTTATAAGAGCTTCTCCAAATGATTGAGAATATCCAGGACTAACTGAATCTAATAAAGCATACATTGTCTCAAAATACTTAGATGCCTTTGCTTCCTGATTCTCATCAAAGTTATCACCAACAACCTAAAATGTTGAATAATTTTTCAAATAAGCATTAAATGACAACATTGAACATGTTACAGGTAAACATGAAATTCAGGTCAAAATTTTTTAACCTATGTTGATTCTCAACTTCTTTTGTCTTTGATTCTGACCATAATTCATAAATAATTTAGAGCTAGGAGACAAAGGAAATTACAAAAATCAAACTACAATCATGGACAAAAGTCTTCGGGCACTTTTGCATTTCTGGGTTGCTTCCAATTCACAAAGGGCCAACCCCTCCCCTCACCCCACAAACAACATTTGACGCATGCAGAATTTTTACCTTTTTAACTTTTTTTAATTTTCAACTTTGTATAGGGTGGGGGGAGGGAGTACTGCAAGAAAATTTAACCTGAATTTAATTTTGACCTGTAACAAATACAAACAATATTGATTTTTAGGTCTTAATGCAGGGAGTACAAGGACAGGATAAATCAGTGTATTATTATTATTGCTGGAAAAGAAATTTTGAAGGTGTGGCCTAAAGTTATTATTATATTATATTATATATACAAAACAACAAACATATTAACGTCGTTGAAATAAAATTGCCTTGGAATGTCCATACTACTTTGTTCAATTCTGTGGTGGTAGCTGTAGAAGATCGTTTTCCTGCATGTAGTCTTGCAAAATAAGTGAAAGCTTTAATGCAGTAATAGTATTTATTTATTTATCTATTGCAGCGGTGAAAGCGGCTTTTCAGTAGAAAAATTATAATAACGAGTCGTACGTGAGGTGAAATTACCGCCGGGTTTTGTTTTTGCGACTCACTTTATCGCAAACAACTCACTTTCATATATTCATAATTTCAAACTCATTGTTCATTATAGCACAGAGCGATGAATAACTAAGGCATGGAGAAAAAAAAACATAACTTGCCCGAAATCCTAAGACACTAAGTTCAATGCACAGGCTTTTACATTCCTTAGTCAGCACATTCAAGTAAACACACTCGCGAGAAGAGGGAAGCTTCCTTGAAACGCTGATCGATTTGACGGTGAAACCAATGNGTGTGGCCTAAAGTTATTATTATATTATATTATATATACAAAACAACAAACATATTAACGTCGTTGAAATAAAATTGCCTTGGAATGTCCATACTACTTTGTTCAATTCTGTGGTGGTAGCTGTAGAAGATCGTTTTCCTGCATGTAGTCTTGCAAAATAAGTGAAAGCTTTAATGCAGTAATAGTATTTATTTATTTATCTATTGCAGCGGTGAAAGCGGCTTTTCAGTAGAAAAATTATAATAACGAGTCGTACGTGAGGTGAAATTACCGCCGGGTTTTGTTTTTGCGACTCACTTTATCGCAAACAACTCACTTTCATATATTCATAATTTCAAACTCATTGTTCATTATAGCACAGAGCGATGAATAACTAAGGCATGGAGAAAAAAAAACATAACTTGCCCGAAATCCTAAGACACTAAGTTCAATGCACAGGCTTTTACATTCCTTAGTCAGCACATTCAAGTAAACACACTCGCGAGAAGAGGGAAGCTTCCTTGAAACGCTGATCGATTTGACGGTGAAACCAATGTCATCTATCACAGCTTCTGCTTCAACTTTGAAGTCAATCTCTTCCTCATCCATTTTCGGGAGACAAAAAAACAAACTTGAAAGTTTTTCCTTGTCCTTCCACAAAATGGGCATTGATTGGTCTTTCACATGATCATTCATATGCACAGGAAACAAATCCCAACAGACGAATGAAAACAAAACAAAACGAAAACGAAAAAACAAAACAAAAAACAAAACCGGCCGCGCCAGCAGTATTTGGTATGCTGTCATGCGTATAAGACTTTGAGCCCACGTCATTACTGGTCTTCAGCAATTTTTTTCGATAAGTACTCTATGTAACAATAATTATTGGCGTGCAGTTTGAGTCAAACAGCTGAGTGGTGAAAATCAGAAGGCTTGTAGAACCCTTCAGGGTTATATCTGTGAAAATTCAAGATGAACTCTTTCAATAACAAAACACCGGCTTGTATGTGTAGGTAATATTTATGCTGATTGTTGCAGGGAGATAGTAGCTTAAGTCTATAAAATTCTATATAATCCTCATTCGTTTAGATGCCAAGGGGTTCAAGCTGGACAAATTTCTTGGTAATTTACAGGTAAGAAGCTTATTAACTTTATTCTATTATGAGCTTAATCAAGCTTAGTTATTTCCTATACAGTATTTTTGGAACTAGATCATGGCCGCTTTGGAGAGTGTGGCATATTTACCATTTACAAAAGAAAGTTAAATATTAAATAATAATGATAATGATGATAATGATAATGATGATGATAATGATAATAATGATAATGATTAAAAAAAACTTGCATTCTGTGCTAAAGCTGGAATTCTCCAGTCTTTTGTCAGCACCTCTGGCAGGAATCAAAATAATTTTTTAACTGACTGGCCAAAGAAATTTCAGCTCAGTCAAGTCTCTTTGTTTACTGGTCATGTTTAAAGTAATAAAGATAATACAAGAAAGATTTAAACCAAGAGCTTAAAACTTAACAGCTTAACAAGCCAAAATCCATAGAGTGCATTCTTGTCTGTTCAAAATGAGCGGCAAACCGAAAAGGTTTGTACAAAATAATCAATGATCATCTTGGCCAAACTTTGTCCATATGCATTGACCATCCATTTTTCTGCTCTTGTGTTTTACCGAGAAACATGATCCACTTAATAATTGGATTCCTTGTTGCCATGCGCCTGTTTAACAGTAGATCACAGATGAGGTCAAAATGTGCTAGTGACACAGAAGCTGCATGCCAGCATGTCACTGGTGTTCTTACCAATTTTTTTGTCTTCTTTGATCTACTATGAACAGATGCTATGATAACATGGAATCTATTGGTTTCATACAATGAAAAGAAAATAAAAAATGAAAAAACTTGCCCTGCACTACTTGACTGTTTGAGGATTTGTGCCTGCAGTTAAGTCATTTTCCAAGTCACAAGATGGTTGTTAGTAGAGGTTCATATGTAATAGTATAGAATGTATAGAGATCTATCTGTATAGAGGGGGACATGGGTATTGCGGTATTGAGCTTTTTTTCAAGTGGTATTTTGGTAATCTTGATTTTAATGTGCGGTATTGCGGTATCATCTAGCCTTGCCATATGTGGTTTTTCATCCTTTTTGTTAAATGGTATTCAGTAAAAGAAGATCTTTCATGGTACTGGGACACTGTTCATTTGTGCTCTCCTCTGCTCAATGGACTATTAACCCATTCGCCCCTGAACCGCCCGTAACCGCCCGTGTGGATCCAGGTCCTTTCTACCCATTGTGACGTCATCAGTTTTAACGGTCAAGGACAACTTTCTTCGCTAACTTGTGTAGAGTGAAAAGATCTTTCAAACCATACCAGAATGAGCACAATTTAGTCAAGGACACCGGAGAAACAAGCAAAAAACCACGTGACATTGACCGGAAAATCTCCATGAAAATCTTGTTCCATTACCCACCTACCTTTCCTTTCGCCTAATCCTAAGATCCTAAAAGCTTTCCTATAAACTCTTCCCACCAAAATGAAGCCTACTAAATGCCCAGCAAGAGAAAAAAAAAATGAGGCAAGAAAAGCGAAAAAAGAAGGGAGGAGAGAAAGCGAAAAGTAAAAAAAAAGTCTCGAAATTTTGCTTTCTGCGCATGCCCGAACTTCGCAAGCTGATATTTTGCATCTGAATCAGAAGGCCGCGAAGTGTACGACCTGTAAACCGGTTTCTGGTAAGTTTTAGCTCTTTATAGCACGACAGTGACCAGAAAACCACTCGACTAGCTTTAAAACGCGTTTTTCGGCAAAATCTCCAGGAGCGAATGGGTTAAGAAAAAGGAGAGACTGCTCCTAGTCTAAATTGGAGGTCTTTTCATGTTTTCTTGCAATGGCTGACATTGATTGCTGGTGCATACACCTTTATCTGCTTGAGATAACCAAACACACGAGATGGATACAACTTGAAGTAAGCGTGACTGATCATAAATGTACAGTAGTATCTGTATTTTGACACTGTATTTCGGTATTTGCCAATTTTTCTTATCGTATTGCATTATTGGGTACCCCCCAATGTCCCCCTCTGTATAACTTGGACAATTTGTGATCGATGTCAAGTATGCTCCATAGGGTTATAAAATTGCCACCGGTCAAGTGAGTGAGGATGAG